GTGATATTTGTTTCTTTGCAATTGATTATTTGAAGGTTCTATCTTAAGGTGATAAGAGTAATTTATATGATGTTTGACTGTGTTTTTTTCAAAGAGCTTTCATATACAGAATATCATCTCAAACCCTCCTCACAGCACCCTGGGCAGGAGGACAGATTATGGCCTCTCATGGATGAGACTTGGGCACAATGATAAAGTGACTGTTTTGCCCTTGGTTAAGGTGACTTCTCAGGACTAGTGACTTACAGTCTTTAACTTTGCACAGTGCTTCTCAATCTTTAACGTGCAGACAAACCACCCGGGGGTGGGTAGATGCAGTAGGTCTGGGGTAGGATGGAGATTCTTCTTTTCTAACAAGTGCCTAGGTGACACAGTGAGAACCTGGAATGTAGAATGCTCTGCAGATGCTCCCTGACCCACAGTGGTTTGACACAATAGTTGGACTCCATGATGGTGTGAAAGTGCACATCCATCATGCACATCACACCTTACAGCTGATCTCTTTCACACTCATCAATTACATGAGGTATCCAACACTTTATTGTAAAGTAGGCTTTGTGTCAGATGAGTTTCCCCAAAGGAAGGCTAATGTAAAGGTAAAGTTAATGTAAAGGTTTAATGTAGGCTAAGATAAGCTGAGAGGTTTGATAGGTAAGGTGTATTAAGTAATTTTTCAACTTAGGATATTTTAAAGTTACAATGGGTTATCATAACATAACCCCATCATAAGTCAAGGAGCATCTGCACCTTTAAGTTGATAGTTTTTCTTACTGTGAAATAAAATCTATGTTCATAAAGAGCATAAAAATTGCATTTATACTCAAAAACTATTATAGAGCAAATACGTATGACTTCTGATCTAGGCAAGAATCAGAACATTACCTGAAGGCTTCTCCCATACATCCGTCCCTAATCATTAACCCTCTCCCTCCTTCCAGGCCAAAACATTATCTTGACCCCTCCAACACGCACTGGGAATTGAATCCAGGCCCTTATGCTAAGCTACATCCCCAACCCTTTTTATTTTTTTATTTTAAACAGGGCCTCGTTAAATCTACAAGTTGCCCAAGCTAATCTTGAACTTGCAACCCTCTTGCTTTAGCCTCCCACAGTGCTGGGATTATGGGTGTATGCTGCAACACCAGGTGTATCTTGATCTTTGTGATGATTATTTTCTTGCTTTAGGAAACTAATTATTTGAAGAGCTCTTTTTTTTGTTGTTTTTGTTACTGTTACCCTGATCCTGATATTTTGGAATCACTAGTATTTTGCATACGGTTAAGGTACACAGCCCAAATATATTGATCTTATTTTTGAAGTCTTTAGTAGGAGAAAATTCCTTAGATAAGCCCAGCCAGGGTCTGCTCAGCAAAATTACTTAGGGAGAAAATGTCACCCCCCAAAAAACAAAAACAAAAACAACAAAGGAGTTGTTTAGGAGTGGGATGTCCTGGAAACAAAAGGACCCAGGATCCTCATTACTGTACCAAGTCAATATTTAACAAATTGGTTATAGTTGCTTAATGTCTGTTATCAATGATGGGATAGATAAGAAATGTCTGAGTGCAGAGGAAACAGTAGAATAGCCGAAGAGGGCGTTACCAAATGCTGTTTGATTGTGAGTGGCCTGGCATATAGTTGTTCCAATTTCCCTCGCTTAATGAAATTAACAGTCTTGAGTTTTTGATAAAATAAAAATTTTTAAAACAAATATAGGTCTTTACTGTGCCTAGCTCCCAATCTGGTTAAAAATGGAACGGTGGCATATTCAAAGAGGCAAGAGCATAAGAGGGATCAGTGCTTATGTTTGGCAACAGGTGTCCAGGAAGTCTTGGGACAGCCAAGTGAAAGACTAAAGCTTCCCAGAAAGCATGAAAATAGGATTGGCAGTGGAACAAAGATGAAGGGAAGGTGGAAAGGCTCTTGCTTCTCTGTAGCCTGAGGCTTCTTCATGCAGTCTACACTAGGTGCATATCAGCTAATTATTGCCATGTAACAAAGCACCCCAAAACGTAGTGACATAAAACAACAACCTATTATTTTTCATGATTCCTTGCTTTAGTGAGGAAGTTCTTATGCTGTTCTCCCCTGGGCATACCTTGGCTGAGAGTCAGCTGGGCTGGAAGGACCAGCATGGTTTCATGCACAGAGCTGAGAGAGTTGTGCTGGCTGCTGTCTGGAGTACCTCAGACTTCCTCATTCTTCAGTGTTTGTCCCAGGGCAGCTGCATTTTTCAGGAATTTTATGAGCCCATTGTTAAACCAGCTTGAAATCAGCCATGGTAGGAGCATTTATACTACAAAAGGACTGGCAAATGTTACAAGGCAGGTCTTCTTTTTCCAGAGTGCTGGCTTACTGGAACACCACTGCCTACATTTCTGTGTGCCTGCAGAGCCTCGCACGGTGGAATGTTCAGTATGCATTTGAGAAACTGAGTCAGAGACAGAGTGGCCAATGGTGCTGCAGTCTCGTGGTCAAAAATGTCAAAAAGGTGTAAAAATGAGGAGATTCAACTTATTATAAAGTGTGAGCAGCTCTGTTACACTGACTTAAAAAATACATAATGACATATTTATATGCTGAAATATAAAAGGACACATCAAGTTCCCCACAGGACAGTAAGCAGTCCATAACTACTCTGATGTGGTGACAAAGATAGGAAGTTGAAGGAGTAAGACATTTCAAGAACCATGCCCCTTTGTGTATCTTTCTCTTTTCTCACTATGTTATCTGTGTTGTTCATATTTTGATTTTTGCCTTTCTGTGACTGTCTTTTCACACATCTCTGCCACTTCTGGCATTCATTAGAGTGGCTAGTTTGTCTATTTTTATCTAAATTTGGGTTTTTCTCAGATCTATGTCTTGGTGAGAGAGGAGTATGTGTAGAAAGGTTGGTTAGTTGCTTTTTCTGCACAGTTTGCTATGCTTCTTACATAAGCATTTTCCTCAAGGCCCTGGGATGCAACTGTAAATATCCCATCGCTGACCTGTGGTGTTTCTAGGGTTGTTTGCATCCTAAGAATGACTCCTTGGGACTTCCTTACATTACCTTACATTACCTACATTACCTTACATTACCTACAATCCCAGGTATCTCTTTGGCTTCTTCCACTGTCTTATGTTTTTCCTCTCTCCTTTTCTGATTGGCCAGGAAAAAAATAAAGAATAAAAGCAAAGTATATAAAATACGCTTACCCTTTTCTAGTTATGTTGCAAAACTCAATCTACTCTGCTGGCTTTCTTTCCTCTGCCCATCCTTAAATGTTAAGTGTTCCCCAAAGCTTTGTTTTCTGACCTTAGGCTTCTGCCTCCTGTCAATCGGTGGGTGGTCCTGAGTGATTTAATCCACTGTCAACTGCTAAAACTGATGACCCAATCCAGAGAGCCTCATGTAATTCACCTACCCACTAGACATCACTATTGGAATGTACCAAAGGCTCCCAGTGCTTATTTCAACCTGAACTCATCATTTCCTTAAACTTCAATTAAAGAGATATAGTCTAAACATCTCCCTTACTTCAAAAAAATCCTACTGCTATGCCTGTCACAACTATCCATTGCTGTATAACAAAACACCCCAAAACTTAGTGGCTTAAAACAATGAGTCATTATTTTGTACATTTCTATGTGTTGGCTGGCTATTCCTATCTTGGGTTCTTTTGGGCTCATTAATGTGTCTGCACTCAGCTAGCATCAGCTGGGCTGGGAGGCCCAAGATGACCTTGCTCATGTGTCTGGCTGTTGATTGTTGGCTGGAGAGCCTCATGTCTTCACCACATGGCAGCTTAACCTCCAGTAGGCCAGACTGCTTCCTTACATCGGAGTCTCTGGTGGGCAATGTTTCAAACCAGCAAAGGCAGAAGTTGTCAGGCCTGTTAGGCCAAGCTTCAGAACTCTTATGTCATGTCTGCTGCATTTTATTTGTCAAACCAAGTCACAAGGTTAGCTTCAGTTTAAGGGGGTAGAAAAATGGTCTCCACTCCTCAGTGGGAGAAGCAATGAGGTCACCTGGCGAAGGAAGGCACTTAGCAGGATAGGTCAAATTTGTAGGCATTAATCAAACTACCATTATACCATATTAAGGCCTATAGGATTTGTTCTATGTGAAGGTCCTTTGTTTTAGGATGATGACTCTAGTGTTCTGTGTATAACAAGTTAGAAAGGCCAGAGATGGATAGCAAGCTCAGTAGGGATCTTGTTTCGGTGGGCCAGACAAAAGGCAGAGGGCACTGTTCATAAGTGAGGGATGAGGAATTCAAATGAAAGGATGAACACAGACACTTACTTCTGAAGTAGAATTTGGAGAGTCAAGTGCCTATTATATCCTCAATACTAGTATAGAGGATGTTGGGAGATGTGATTACCTATTAGAAAAACATATTCCAGACAACAAAGAGCTACTCAAGTGTTTGGCTAATGAGAAACTTAAGATCTTGGGAAAATGAAAACCTAATGCAAAAAATTAGGTTGTAGTAATCAGCATTCCTTTTCTTTGCCTGATAACAGAATCTCTCTCATGGTGGATCTTTCTTTCTTCCTCTCTGTCTCTCTCTCTCCCCCCCTCTCTTTCTGTACCGGGGATCAAACTCAGGACCTTCTGCTTGTGAGGCAGGTGTGGTGCCCCTGAGCTAAATCCCCAGCCCCTCATGGTGGATTTTTCATTCGGAATTACTTAGGTCCCTACTCTTATCCCCGCCCCTCAAATGCATATATCTTCCCACTTTGGAGCCCACAGGCTAGTAGTGGCCAGAGTAGTTCACCCCTGCAGCTGAAGTACTGGTTCAGGGATGCATATGTGACCCAAACCTGGACTATAAGCACCTGCCCCCGGACTTCTACAGGCACTCTTCAGGAAGACTGGTTCTTCCTGCTGGCTTGCACAGCTGTGGGGATGTGAGGCTAGAGCTGCTAATGTCATGCTGCCCAACATGTAGAAGAAGACTGTGTCAGCAGAGTCAAGCAGGGCTGACAGATGGAAAACCAAAAACTGTCATATATCATTACAAACTGTATCAGTTTTTGCTCCTGGATCCAACTATGCCTAGGACAGATGGAGCTCAGAATTCCCTCTTACATAAACCAAGGAATTCCCTTTTTCTTAAACTAGTTCAAGTTGCATTTCTTTCACATGCAACTAAAAGGTTCTGAATAATTCCAAAACAAGCACAAGATTTTTATAACCAAGATTTTGAAGATTCTGATTACTTGCTTCTGTGTGCTTCCCTGCAAACCATCCTGTATTCAGCTATATTATTCTTCTAAAATATTGCTTTTGCCATACAAAAACCTTCTAAGGACTGCTGCTTTTTATAACTATTTTAACTCAGTTCAAACACAATCCAGATTTAATTTGCGTTTTTAAACCAATTTCTCCTAGTATTCCTTTTAGTCATGTTAGTTTGTTTACTATACCCATCTTTGTTTTCTTGTTCATTTCTCCTGTTCACCTATTTTTGAAAGCATTCCAATCCCCCTCTGCCCATAGAAAACCCTCACACTTAATATCCCAATTCACATACACTTCTTTCATAAATATTTTCTCTGAACACAATGACCCAAGTTCTTTGCCTCTTCTGAACTCCCATTGTACTGATTAACTGTCCTGTTCTTTGCACATGTAATAATATACAGCCTTCTGTTGTTATTTAGGCTTTTAATTTGCATTAACCTTTTGTTCCTTAATAAATTTTAAATCTGGGAAAGGCTTGATGATGCGAGGTCAGCCACTCAGTGCTTCAGTCTGTTTCCGGTTGCCATACCAGAATACCCCAGACTGGACAACCTGTAAAGAAAAGACATCTATTTCCATCTGTTTTGGAGGCTGACGTCTGGACACAGCCTGACACGGTGGGAAGACAAGCAAGCACTGGAGACAGACAGAGAGGACAAGAGGGGAGCTAAGTTTATAATAAACTTGCTCTCACAGTGACACTGGTGACCAAATCACATCCTATTAGCTCCCCAACCCCCAACACTGCTGCACGGAGGACGAAGTTTCCAACACATGAACTCTGAGGGATATATATTCAAACTATGGCACTCAGGAAATTAAGAAAAGATGTTCTGTGCCATTTCAGAAGGAAACAATTGGATAGGGACTCTGGTCAGAGAAAACACAGGAGGACTTACAGTGGAGATGTCGTAAGGCTTCTTTACGATAAACAAAAGAAAGTGAAGGTTTAAGATGACCATGCTAGTTATCAGATTCACCCTTTCTCTCTTTCTTTCTTTCTTTCTTTCTTTCTTTCTTTCTTTCTTTCTTTCTTTCTTTCTTTCTTTCTCCCTCTCTCTTTCTTTCTTTCTTTCTTTTTTCCTTTTCTTTCTTCTCTCTCTTCCTTCCTTTCCTTATTTCCTTTCTTTTTCTTTCTTTCCTTCTTTCTTTCTGTTTTTAAGACAGGGTCTCACTATGTAGTTCAGGCTACCTTGAACTCACTCTGTAGCAAAGGCTGGCCTCCAACTTGAAGTGATCCTCCTGCCTCAGCCTCCTGAGTACTGGGAATACAGGCACGTACCACCATTCCTGGCTCACTCCCTTTTCTATAGTAGAAAGTCTTAGCTGTGAAATTGTCTGACTGAGGACCACATTCTCCAGCCCCAATATCCCTCTCAATGGCCATATGCCTAGTTCTCAGCATGGAAAGAGAGCAGAAAGGACAAGGGCCACATCTGGGCCAAGGTGGTTAGAATGCAGATGTGCCTTCTCTATTTCACTTTCCTTTCTGCCCACTGGACACAGAGCACTCAGAAGGCCCTTAGGATAATGGCTCATAGGATGAGAAAGTCTGTCTCTGAATTACCATATGGTAAAGAAAAATCAAAACTGCCCCTGACAAGGACCTTGGCATGGGCTGCTCCCTGAGAGAGATATAAATTCCACTGTGTTCAGCAACAGAGACGTAGAGGACTGTGTGTTGCAGCAGTGTACTAGTCAGGGAGACAGAAGGGTGAGGAGGGAATAAAAAGGAGGAAGAGAAGAAGGGAAAAGGTGTGTGTAGGAGACAGACAGAGAGAGAGAGAGAGAGAGAAACAGAGAGAGAGAGGAAATTGATTAATTGTAAGGAATTGCTCAGGTAATTATGGCAGCTGGCAAGTCCAAACTGCAGAGTTGGCCAGCAAGCTGAAGATCTGGAAGAACTGAGAGTGTAGCTCAAATCTGAAGGCCTTCTGCATGTAGAATCCCCTTTGCTTGAGTAGGTGGAGCTTTTGTGCTTTTGAGTCAGTGAGGCTCACCTCCATCGTGGAGGGCAGTCGATTTTGCCCAAAGCCAACTGACTTACATGATAAGCTCAGCCAAAACTCCCTCACAGAAATTTCCACAATAATTTTTGACTTATATGTGGGAACCATGGCCCAGCCAAGCTGAAACAAAAAGTAACCATTCTATGGATAATGAAGATGTGGTTTTTTATACAACAGAGTACTACTCTGCCATAAAGAAGGATAAACTTGAGACATTTCTAACTAAATGGATGCACCTTGAGACCATACTTTTAAGTGAAATAAAAAGGATGCACATGTTTAAATACCACATTGTTTTTCTGATGTGAGAAACCAAAAGTATAAATAAGGACCAAAATGTATAATAGATATTGGGAAATAGAAAATGTTCAAATGGTAAGGGGAACAAGAGAGGGGAGAAAGGAAAGAAAAGACAAGAAAAAAAAGAGAATAGAAGGAAAAAATGGAAATAAAGTTTTTGTAAATAAGGAGAGGGAGAGGAGTTGAAGGGAGGGGAGGGAAATGGGAAAAAAAGAAAAACAAGATATATCATGTACAGGTACAAATTCCCTGTGATGAATGCCATCATTATGTATATCTAAAATGTACAGTAAAATTGTTAAAACACACAAAAAATTAAAAACCCAATTTCATCTGAACTGAAAGTTTTATCATTTTATATTTTGTATGGAGGTCTATGATCCATTGAGTTATTTTTGAACATGATATAAAGTACTGATTGAAGTTTTTTGTTTGTTTGTTTGTTTGTTTTTTGGTACTGGGGATGGAACTCGGGTCCTTGCACTTGCGCAGCAGGCAGCAAAACCACTGAGCTAAATCCCCGGCCCCAGATTGAAGTTTTTTAAAAGTAACCATTCTTAGCAGATGGTACTTCCCCAATTTACACCAAGGTGTCCTGTGACTAATTACCATGCAGAAATAGCATTTTGTTCATTCACCTGTTTGCACCCAGAGGCTGTTCCTACCTTACCAAAGAAAAATGATGTTCTTTTCAGAGCGTGCTGAAAACAGCAAACTTTCTACAAAGAATGAAAGGTTGCAAAAGCACTGGAGAGTACGCAGTGCTCACTGCTTAACGCTGCAGTCATCCATGTCCGCACAGGAAAGAACATGGTCGCCCGAGTTCTAATAAACGATTTATTTCTCCGCCCATACGAGAATCAGACACTGTGAAGATAAACACAGAGACGCCTGCCCCACCCCTCTCCTCTGCCACAGAGCTAACAATGGGTTCTCCCAGGGAAGGACGAGGTCACCCACCTTGTGTGTCCACTGCTATGGCTTCCCCGTCTGGGCACCTTGACAATGGTTGTAAGGGTGGAACAATGAGGCTGAGCAGAGGGCTGCTATAAATCAACATGTCAGGGAGCAATTAAAAGAATTAACTTCTTTACCTTTGGCCACAAAAAGAACCTAAAAAATAAACATCTCTGTAGCTCCTCACCATGAAATAAGTGGAAAGGATTATTCTTGGCCCTCAGAATGACATGGAAAAACTTTCTATAACCAGCATTCTGGTCAATGCCCTGTAATGATCTAGGCAACTTCCTACTTTCTCTATGAAGACCTTCTTGCCACTCCAGGGCTGTTTATTTTTCAGGCATTGACTCATTTATTTAACAATTCCAGTTGAGCATCTATGATAGAAATGACACTGTCAGGAATTATAAGAGACTCAGGGTTCAAGTTTTCATCTCAGTAAACTTAGTGTATAATACTAATTGTGTGTGTGTGTGTTCACACTGTCATTCTAAAGGGTGACGCTATCCTATCTAGCCCTCTGTGCTCTTCTGGACTCCCCTGATTGGGAGTACCTGAACACTCTGAGACCAGTAAGAGGGGCTACTTTATGGGTCTCCACTCTTGAAGGCCTCTCTACCTTTGATCAAAAGAAACCACGTTTTGGTAGTCTGAATAAGATAAAAGGGGTAGAAGGATCCTGTTAAACTCTCTTGTCACCCTTAAAAAAAAAAAAAAAAAAAAGAAAGAAACCACTTTTCATTTGAATTGCAATGGAATTACAGAAAGAGGGCCTGGGACATAGACAAGAGGGGTCAAGGGGATTCATATGTGGGTCAGGATAGGAGTGTCCAGCATCCCAGTGGCCTGTGGCCCTTGTCCACTTCCCAGGGGCTCTTCCCTGATTCTAGAAGGAGGTCAGAGCAAGCATGACATGGGTAGGAAGCCCGCTGACCTAAGGACTTACAAATAATCTCAGCAAAGAGCCAGAGCTCCTACACTCCCAGGCCACAGGGAAGCCCACAGCACAGTGTGCCAGGTGCACATACAACCAGGGCTGCCAGAGCCAGGTTCTGGAGCATGAAGCACAGCTGTCTGCTGCTCCTCACTCCTCCCTCCTCACACTTGTTCTTAAAGCTTAGTAGGGCTTGGAACCAGGAATCTGAAGCAAATCCCCTTGTTTGGCAGTCAGTGTTGGGCCTTTAGCCTGCTGGCCCACTGGTCCCTTGGGCTCTCTCTCATGCTTCCAAGAAGAGGCAACAGGCTGGGAGGGGCCTTCCTACCCTCACTATGGAGGACAGCTCTTCGTCTATTTATCAAGCTGAAAAGTTTATTCTGAAGTTTGGGTATTTTTGTTGGGTTGAAGCTTCTGTAATTCCTCTGGCTAGGCTGTAATTCCAACATCCCTGCTCCCAAATTCGCTGTATTTTTTTTTTTTTCTGGCTGAACCTCAAAGGTCAGCCTGGAGAGGCTGGAGGAGGGTGGGATTTCCCCTCATGTCAAATAAACAAGGAAGTGAAGGGGGCCTCTGTGTTCTCAGAACTCCAAGCATGAAATGATGTGAGCCTAAGCATTTAAATCACTTGGCTGAGATTAAGGATGAAAAGCTTTCTTTTTCATACCAATTAGATCTGAGCCTCCATGATGCATTTTGGGACCTGTGATTATTACTGTAATTACTCTTCAATTCATGCCCTGGGTGTTCTGTAAAGCTTTAATAAACAATAGTAATAACAGTAGCCAACATTTATATCTATACTCCTGGCATTGTATCAGGGGTTTTAATACATATCTATAACATTTTAAATTATTCTCATTTTACAGCGGAGACACAGAAGTACAAGAAAAACAACAAACAAGAAACAAACAAAAAACCCTGCCCACAGACACCTAGTTGATCAGAGTGAAGGCAGAATTCAAAACTTGTACTTTGGTTGTCCAGAGCTCTTTTAATCTACTCTACTATCTCACAAGGAAAATGAAGCAAACCAAAACATACTCTAAACCTCCTGAGGACCTTTGCAGTGTAAACTGATGAATCCTTTCATTAAGTGAAAATATTTAGTCTGTGTAAATCCACAGTGTATATACACACTTTTTGGGATACTTAGGGTAGACTACAATATTGCTGTTTGTGAAAGTAAACATGTGTTAAGGGATATTAAAGATAACTTTGTTCACTGAGTGCATCTCTTTGTGATACTAAGATGAGAAAAGCAGATGAACGCTCCCCTGAAGGAGTGTAGCTTTTCCCCACCCCTTCTTATTCTTGCTGAAAAAGAGAATGTCCATTTTATTTGTGGCAGTGAGACAATAGTTTAAAACATTTTTCTTTTTTTGCTTACCATAGTAACACATCTCATTGTAAAATGGAAAAAAATTACAAGAAATTTTCCAGTAATGCCAGCCCCAAAGAAACAAACACAATTACAGATAACAATGTTAACATAACTCTTCCTCCAAAGAAGACACGGAGGATACCTGCTCGTAATTCCTTGCCTGGCTCATGCAACCCAGAAGGATATGAAGACTTCTTTTTTTTTAAGCATGCGGCTCCTAATCTCAGGGCAAGCATAAACACAGCTGAAAGTAAATATGAAACAAAACTCTGGCCATACGGGCTGAGAAAGCCCCTCCCCCTGGCCCCTGTCTTTTAAATTTATTTCCATGAGAAGACACCAAAGACATTAAAAGTTAGGATTATTCTAGAAAACCCAGGGTAGATAGCCACCAGATGTATAAGGGAATCAGGCACACTGCAGTAGACATTCAGGAGATGTTTGCTGAATAAAAAAAGGGAAATCTTTATTTATATTTATATTTATAAAACAAAACCACTCTGAAATGCATACAAGACCTCACAGATTTTCCATTTACCTTCTTCCTCTTCCTCTTCTTCCCCTTTCGTTTCCCCTTCCTCTTCTTCATTTTCTTCTTTCATACACGGCAAGGGGAAAAGCAGCTCAGTGATTCCTAGCTAAATTTTATTTTGCTTTCACTTTCTGCCACTTTCAGTTCCTCTTACTGCACTCTGAGATTCACTAAGTACAGCAAGCCTGGTACACAGGCTGAGCTGACAAGGGACAAGAGTTTGCCTGCAGTCAGGGAGCACAAGACATTAATAATGCAATGTCCACGTGGTTCACACTCAGGAACCTCTGGAATGAAACACAAAGAACCCTGGATCTGGGCTACTAAGTACTTTTTGAAAATGCTTCACTGAAAAAAAAAAGAAAAAAAAGAAAAAGAAAATGCTTCACTCCCAAAGAGTGGTAAGGACTTTACAAGGGCTATGAAAAAAATGAATTTAAGTTAATAAAGCTTTTTATTGAGTGTTTACTGTGTGTTACTATAGGCTTTACATCTATAACTCACTTCATCTTCAAAACAACCCTATAACGGGCCGGGGATTTAGCTCAGTGGTTCCACTGCCTGCCTCGAAAGCACAGGGTCCCAAGTTCAATACCTAGTACCAAAAAAACCCCAACCCTATAAAGAAGTTACAGCTATAATCCCCACCTTACAAATGAAACAACCAAGGCACAGAGAAGCACAGTAGCTTGCTCAAGATGAGAAGCGAGACAAGATTTGAATCCTTGCAGCCTGCCTGGGGACCTGCTATCACATTCATATCGAGGCCATAATTCGTCTGTCTTGCTGGTGGGTGGCTCTGATCTGAATTCCATTGTCTGACAGTTCACTGCCTCTCAGAAGACAGAGATACTTGATGTATTAATGGGTTGCTGAATTTTAGGGTGTATAGGTTGTCCCCCCTCCCAGAGTTGAACAAAACATTTCTGAAATGTTGAAAATTACATTTTAAAAAGTTGTATGTTTTTTCTTACTAAAACATATCATTTGTTCATTCTTTTCAAGATAATTTTTAAAAATTTTTATTGGTACATTTTTGCAGTACATAATTACTACAGCAATTGTGGGGAGCCAGTAAATGTATGAAACACATCTTAATTCTTTTTTTTTTTTTTGGTACCAGGGATCAAACTCAGGACCTTGTGCTTGTGAGGCAGGTGCCGGAACCACTGAGCTAAATCCCCGGCCCACATCTTAATTCTTTTTACTTCCCATTTCTTTCCTGACCTCATTTACAAAAGATCTACCTTTCTGTCCCCTATTATATATCTTTTTGTTCTTTAATTTATTTATACTTTGGTTTCTCATACTGTATAAGAGAAACCAGATGGTATTTAAATTTGTGTGTCTGATTTGTTTCACTTAACATTATGTTCTCAAGGTGCATCCATTTTTCTACAAATGACTCAATTTTATCCTTCTGTATATCAGAGCAGTATTCTGTTGTGGCTTAGGCCTAGATGTCACCCCAAAGTCACAAGCAGTTATAGGTGGGGCTTTTCAGTGGTGGCTGGATCTAGAGTGTGTGATGCTGGGATTAAGGATGTGTGATTCCTAAATTAGTCCAATGATTAGTTCTGGGTGGGGATAATGGGAAGGCCCACTCTGGGTGTGAGCGTTATCTATCCTAAGGGCACGTAGCATGGATAGAATATAAGGGACAGAAAGAAGGCTGCTCTGTGGCTGGCTGCTTGCTTCCTCGATACTTCACTGCTTTGCTGCTTTCCTGCCTTCTGACTGCCATGATCTGTTTCTCCTTTGCGATGCCCCTCTGCAATGCCACCTTGCCTTGGAGCCAGCCCACTACGAAACGAAACCCCTACAAACACTGAGCCAAAATAAACTTTTCATCCTTTAACTTAGAACGTAGGGTATTTTGTCTCAGCAATGTGAAAAGTAACTAAGACATATTCTATTATATAAATACCACTTTTTCTTTATCCATTCATCTGTTGGTGAAAATGTAGGCTGCTTCCAAGATTTAGTTCTGATGAGTTGTGCTGCTATAAACATGAGTATGCGTGTATCACGGTAATATGATTTTTTTTCAAGAAGATACTTAGAAGAGAAATAGCTTGAATTGAGTGGAATTTCTATTTTTAGTTTTTGAAGAATCTCCATACTGATTTCTATACTCAGATGTACTAGTTTATATTCCCACCAATAATGTAGAAGGGTTCCTTTACCCTTGCCAGCATATTATTTGATTTCTTAATAATAGCCATTCTTCCTGGAGTAAACTGTAATCTCTCAGAGTTGTTTTAATTTGCACTTTTCTAATGGCCAGAGATGTTCAACATTTTTTCATTTATTTATTTCCCACTTGTACTTCTTATGAGAAGTTTCTATTCCTTTCAGTTGCCCCTCTTTTTCTTGTTGGGTCTTTTATTTTGGAGGGTCTACATTTTTTGAATTCTTTATGTATTCTAGATATTAGTCCTCTGTCCAAGGAGTAGCTGACAAAATTTTGTTCCCATTCTATGGGTTGTTTCTTTACTCTGCTGGTTGTTTCCTTTTCTGTGCAGAAGATCTTTAATTTGATATGACCCCAGTTGTTGATTACTGATGTCACATCTTGTGCAATTGGGGTTCTGTTTAGAAAGTCCATACCTATGCTTATATCTTCAAGAGCTTTACCTATTTTATCTTCCAGAAAGCTAAGTGTTTTTGTTTTAATATTTAGATCTTTTTTAGCCATGTGTGGTGGCACATGCCTGTAATCCCAGCACCGGGGAGGTTGAGGCAGGAGGACTGCCACAAGTTTGAGGCCAGCCTGGGCTATGTAATGAGTTCAAGGCCAGCCTGAACTACATAGTAAGACCCTGTCCCAAAAAAGAAAAAAAACTAGATCTTTTTAATCTATTCTAATTTTAGTTAAGTACATGCTGAGGCATCGGATCTAGATTTAATCTTTTGCATGTCTATAGCCAGTTTTTCCAGCAACATTTGTTTTAAAAGGCTATCTTTTCTCCAGGGTATGTTTTTGCTTCTTTGTCAAAGATCAAATGGCTGAATAGGCTTGGAGTTGTTTCTGCATCCTTTATTCTGTACAATTGATCTATATGTTTCTTTTTGCACCAGTACCATCCTGTTTCTATCATTGTAGCTTTGTAAAATAATTCAAAACCAGGATTGTAATGCCTCCTGCTTTGCTCTTGTTGCCCAGGATTGCTTTTGCTATTCTGGGTCTCTTTTGGTTCCATATGAATTTTAAGAATATTTTTCACTAGTTCTGTTGATATTTTGTTTAGATTTGCATTAAATCTGTATGTCAGTTTTGAAAGTATGGCCATTGGTTGTACCTGTCTAGGAACAGGGGATATCTTTCCATTTTCTGATGTCTTCTTTAATCTCCTACTTCAGAGTACTATAGTTTTCATTAGAGAGGTATTTCACTTTCTTTGTTAGGCTAATCCCTAAGTATTTAATTTTTCTTGCAGCTATTGTGAATGATATTGTTTTCTTAATTTCTCAGTGGGTTCGTTATTGGTATACATGAATGCTATTGAGTTCTGTGCTTTGATTTTTTGTCCTTAAGATCACTGAGTACCTACTATTAATATAGCAATTTGCTAACACCTGTTAAAAAAACAAAGATGATAAAACAATTCTATCTGGTAGGGTTTCCAAGGAGTTTTGGAATCACACACACTGTATGTATGTTTGCGTCTCATTCCCACTCCCTACCAGCTGTGTGATTTTGTGCAAATTGCCTAATCTCTCTGAGTTTAGCTTCCTTACACAGAAAATACAGGTAATAGCAGTTATCTTGGAGGGTTGCTCCAAAAAGAAAACGTGCTAATGCATGTAGAATGTCAAGTAGAATCCTGGAGACACTGTAGAAACATAATAACTGTTAGCCAGGCTGTATGAGGGAGATAAAATAGACAAAATAAATGAAGGCAGCCCTATGGTACAGGACAGTGCAAGCCACAAAAAGTCCATGGGAAATAAAATTGGATGATTTATGCCCAGCACTTCCCTACAGCAGGAACATAGTCACTGCGCATAATGGGAAAATCCATGGACAGTCTGCTTCCTCCTGTGTAGTTAGTTCCAGGCTGGCCCAAAAGATACTGAAGTTTCTTCCACCAATAAGTCCCATTTTAACCAACTTTCTGGTATCCATTCTTCCTTGGAAAGACAAAAAACAAAGAAAACATAATTGAATTTCTCCACAAATAAGGTGGAGTCATTTTTCTTTTACTTCTAATTTCATTGATAGGCTAAGCATGGGAAACAGCCAACTCCTAATGTCAGGCGTGTAGATGGGAAGCATGGCAAAGCAAACAAAAATCTCAGGGTACAGGATTATTTTTTAATTAAAATTATATAAATAACAGATGATCCCCTGAGCGGGGAGAAAATTTGACTTCTTAGAAACTTGTGTTCTAAAAAGCTAGAGTTCTTTACTTCCCTCACTTTATCTCCTCCAGAGGGTAGTATAACTTTAAATGAAAAAAATGATTTTAATAAAATCAATTTAAAAATTGGCTTCTGGCCTAAGAACCAGAATGACACAGTTTAACCTCAGCCCTACATTTTGTTCTTGTTATCACTTGTTCATTGGTAGGCAGTATCTTTTCAGCTCTCCTGATAGTAACATTGTTATCTGAGTTCCAGGCATTGTAAATGTATTTTAACTGTGTATTCTTTAATAACTTTGTATAATAATTTGCAACCCAATTGTTTTCTCTTTAATGCTTTGGATAAGGGTCAGTGGAAAGGCCTGGGAATTACAATAGCTACTTTAGAGCTTTTTTGACTAGCAACCTTGTGTCTTAAAGAGTCTTTAGGTCGTGTATCCTCACCTGTCAAAAAAAAAATAAAGTAAATGTGTCCATGTACAAACCTCTGTGCTCTAACACCCAATTCCCAACTCTGTACTAGGGATTGAACCCAGGATGCCCTGAGCTATAGCTCCAGCATTTTTTAAATTGTATGTTTTGGAAGCAGGGTTTCACTAAATTGCCCATGCTGGCCTTGATTTTGATCTTCCTGCCTCAGCATCCTGACTAGCTGGATTATAGGCACACACAACCACGCCCAGCTAAATTCTATGTTTTTACATCTGCATTATTAAGTTTTCCTGAAGAAGAAAAATGTCCAATCGGAACTACTTTTCTTTTGCTGACTGTAAGCAGAATTAGCTTATTTGTGCATTGGCAAACTGCTACTTCTATGGTTCTGTCTCGTTTTGATCTCAGAATGGTTTACTTTATATCTCAAACTTATATTCAAATGATTACATTTGATTTATTTTGTATGTCAGTCTAACCACTAAGCATATGTCATCATATCACTTAATTTATAACAGAACATAAATCTGCTGTGTTAGCTTTTCTAGTTTAAATAGCATCTGGCAATTTACAGTCACTCACAAGAAAATGTACAGTGAAAAACACTAAATAACAAACAATAGCCAAGAGATTCAGAAGAGAAATTTAAAAAAAATTCAAGGCAGATTTTTGTTTAAATCTATGGTTTTCTTTTTAAAAATTGTCAGTGTTCATTTAATCTTTTTTTCTTGCATCTTGCTGTGCCCACAGTTTTAAGAGCAGACACACACGCCCTACACATACTCTACATACTGTTCATTTCTGAAGTGGGATAACTGGATAGGCACAGAGGGAAAGGAGACAAAGTTGGGTTTTTTTCCATGAGTTTCAAG